GTTTGGGGTGCTATATTGGGTTCCAGGTACGTGTCTAAATGTAGTGGATTTCTAGCCTCGGTGCCTGGTAGTCTAGTGGCAGTGCATTACATTACTATGGGGAGCCTTCCAATTAATATTCTGGCCTTGAGTTGGAGCCGCTGGCATGGCAGGGGCTGGGAGTGCCGTGGATTCTGCTTCACACTTGTGCAAATGGGGATTAACTCTATTAAAGTCAATAGTGTTACACAGGTATGAAACTGGCATGAGAGGCAATGGCCTAGAGTTCTTTGTTCCTGTACAGGAAGGGAGCCTGCCCAGTGACCCACTTTCAGTATTGCCAACCTCAAAAGTTCAAAAATCGTAAGGCTGGTTTAAAATCATGAGATTATTTGAAAATAATCACTTCGGTGTTCTTTTTATTTGCCTTCTGCATTTTGAGCCTGTAGGATACACTGGGGTCACATTTTTGAAGCTTTCTCCATAGTCATGAGGGCTAGAAATTTACTTTTTCTTTAAGAATGAAGGCTGAAATCATCACAGATCAGCTTGACTCCAGGAGCTGGGGTTTTAAGGAAAACAGTAATTATCATGAGACTCACGACAAAATCGTGACAGTTGGCAACGCTGCTTTGGCAGATGAATGTGTAGCCTACATGCTTTATATGGCAGCATACACGTGTCTCTGTTAAAGAGAGAGAATGGGGCAGCACATAATGAAGTGAGGGTTTATGAATTCTTGCTTGACTTAGCTGGGCTTATGAGGTGAAGATGGTGCCCTACAGAGATCCAGAAATGGCTATTGTGTATGGTGATCCCAAACCCTGTACCATTTTGGATACAGGCTGCAGACTTCTGTTTTACCAGCAAATGAGAGGACCAGCCAGCTGTTAACCTAAGGCTTGGTCTGTTGCTAGCTAGGGAGGTCCCCAGCCTGTTTCTTTGCTGACAGGATTCTGATGTGTTTCAAAGGTCTGTGACATTGCCTCACACACACAGTGTATACTGTGGTCATCACACTTTAAAGACTGACACATCAACTCTGAGTGGAGATCAGGGGGGGATGTGTCTTGGTGTGTGTGCTGAAAATGTTCTGTTGAAACCTGTATGCAGTGTAGTTGTAGCCATGTCAGTCGCAGGATATTAGATAGACAAGGTGGATGAGGTAATATCGTTTATTGAACCAACTTCTATTGATGAGAAAGACAAGCTTTTGGGCCACACAAAGCTCTTCTTCAGGGCTGGGAAATGTACTCCAAGCATCACAGCTAAATGCAAGGTGAAACAGATTGCTTAGCAAAAATAATTAGCACGTATTCTAGGGAACCGTTCCAGGTAGAGTGGTCCATTAAAAACTCTATAGTCATAGGACAAATAAGGGGGGAATTAGTGGGTTACAGATTGTTGTAATAAGCCATAAATCCAGTGTCTTTGATCAGTCCATGATTTTTGATGTCCAGCAGAGTTATGAATTTGAGCTCCTGGGCTCATCTTTTTAAAGTGTTGCGTGCAGGTTTCCCTTGAGGATGAAGATTGAGAGGTCAAATATAGAGTGATCGTTTTGTGAAAGTGTTCACCCACAGGAGATAGGCCTGTATTTGTCCTATGACTACAGTGGTGTTAATGGACCACTCTATCTTAAATGGTCCTTTAGAATGTTTAGCATAAATAGTTAGCACATAATCTGTACCACCATACATTTAGTTGTGATGCTTGGAATACCATTCCCAGACCTGAAGAAGAGCTCTGTGTCACTCGAATTTTGTCTCTCTCATGAGCAGACGTTGGTCCAATAAAAAGATAGTACCTCACACACCTTGTGCTCTAATGTTGAAACCTTACATTTTACTATAGGTAATAGAAACAAAAGTGGGGAAGTCTGAATAAGAAACACCAGTATATTTACTGTCGAATAGCTTTTGTTTAAAAGGTTTCAGAGTAGCACTCATGTTAGTCTGTATCTGCAAAAAGAAAAGGAGGACTTGTGGCACCTTAGAGACTAACCAATTTATTTGAGCATAAGCTTTCGTGAGCTACAGCTCATTTCATCGGATGCACGTAGTGGAAAATACAGTGAGGAGATTTTATATACACAGAGAACATGAAACAATGGGTGTTACCATACACACTGTAACAAGAGTGATCAAGTAAGGTGAGCTATTACCAGCAGGAGAGCAGCAGGGGGGTGGGTCGGTGGGAACTTTGTCGTGATAATCAAGGTGGGCCGTTTCCAGCAGTTGACAAGAACGTGTGAGGAACATTGGCGGCGGGGGGGGGAATAAACATGGGGAAATAGTTTTACTTTGTATAATGACACATCCACTCCCAGTCTTTATTCAAGCCTAAGTTAATTGTATCCAGTTTGCAAATTAATTCCAATTCATCAGTCTCTCGTTGGAGTCTGTTTTTGAAGGTTTTTTGTTGAAGAATTGCCACTTTTAGGTCTGTAATCGAGTGACCAAAGAGATTGAAGTGTTTTCGGACTGGTTTTTGAATGTTATAATTCTTGACGTCTGATTTGTGTCCATTTATTCTTTTATGTAGAAACTGTCCAGTTTGGCCAATGTATACGGCAGAGGGGCATTGCTGACACATGATGGCATATATCACATTGGTAGATGTGCAGGTGAACGAGCCTCTGATAGTGTGGCTGATGCGATTAGGCCCTATGATGGTGTCCCCTGAATAGATATGTGGACACAGTGGACAACAGGCTTTGTTGCAAGGATAGGTTCCTGGGTTAGTGTTTTTGTTGTGTGGTGTGTGGTTGCTGGTAAGTATTTGCTACAGGTTGGGGGGCTGTCTGTAAGCAAGGACTGGCCTGTCTTCCAAGATCTCTGAGAGTGATGGGTCGTCCTTCAGGATAGGTTGTAGATCCTTGATGATGCGTTGGAGAGGTTTTAGTTGGGGGCTGAAGGTGATGACTAGTGGCGTTCTGTTATTTTATTTGTTAGGCCTGTCCTGTAGTAGGTAACTTCTGGGCCACTGACATGCACAGGCTGAAATTGTGGAAAAGCAGCATCACTTGTGTGCCCCCCCCCCACTATTCCTCACACGTTCTTGTCAACTGCTGGAAATGGCCCATCTTGATTATCACTACAAAGGTCCCCCCCCCACCCCCACCCTGCCGCTCTCCTACTGGTAATAGCTCACCTTACCTGATCACTCTTGTTACAGTGTGTATGGTAACACCCATTGTTTCATGTTCTCTGTGTATATAAAATCTCCCCACTGTATTTTCCACTGAATGCATCCGATGAAGTGAGCTGTAGCTCACGAAAGCTTATGCTCAAATAAATTTGTTAGTTTCTAAGGTGCCACAGGTACTCCTTTTCTTTTTGTTTAAAAGTTATTCATAGTATTCCAAGTGCTATTTACAGTTTTATACTATTTGCAATGTCTTTTATGTGCACTAAAAATGTTTGTTTTACTATGCAAATGTATGGTTCTCTCTCTTTTAAATTGACTAGGAATGTTAACATCCATTTATCATGGTTTTACGTACAATAGGCCTGAGGTTTAATTCTGTGTAATGCTGTCTGAAAAGTCCAAAAAGACAAAACTCTGGCCTGTGTGTCAGCAAAGAGCTAAGCTGAGCTGCAGGAAGAAGAGAAGTGCAATAGTTGAATACAGAATATTGCCTTAGCATCCCCTATCCCCAATAACACCTGGAATAACATCAGTGGACTCTGAAGAAAAGGGAGTCTAATGTGGGGCCTTTTGAAAAGGGAAGGCCAAAACATTGGGAACAGAGGGCTGTTACAGACATGGAGAACTCCCCTAGATGCTGATGGAGGTCCAACTTCAAGTCCTTTTGCTGATTTCTGCAGTTGAGAGTATTAAAATTTGCCTGTACCGCCAGGAAAGGGACAGCTAATGGGAGAACAAAGACTTCCTTTCTCTCCCAAACGGAGGCAATAACGCATGGTCAGGATTAAAAATAAATAAATAAATAACTGGAAGAAAAGCTGTTTGTGAAAGAGGCTGCATATACACCAGTTATTTACCAACTCTGCCAAAATCAGTTTCTTCTAACAGGAAAGAATAAATCTGCTGGGCTAATGTTTCATTTATTAGGTTCCCAGGGAAAATAAGGCATGAGAACTGTAAAGAGGAAGTTGGCAGCCAAGATTGCGGATAAAGACTTGAACGAGCCCTGTGGATCCTGTGGGGAATATGCAAATGCCTTTAATAGGGCTGTGTCATCTTCACTGGAAGCTGTTTAAACATGAGTAACATTCTGAATGTTTGATTGTATGACTATGGCTCAGTTAGATGTTAATCGTGGCTGTAGTAGGTCAGGTGCTTGAAAATAATTACCAGCTGAGCTCAGGGTGTTTCACTGGGGTTTTCAAACTCTTTATTCAATTAACTAGCTACTTCCCTGACACGATGATGAATGGGTATTTTATTTTCTGTGCGTTGCCTCTGCTCAGCTGTCATGTAGGGTGTTTTCTCACTTCATGGACTTTGAGGAATTTAGCGTTATGCTTCCGCCACTTCCAAACCTCTATTGCATCCCTGTCTTGTTCCCTATCTGTGTTAATAGACCCTCCCGCACCTCCCCCATCTCTCTGCCTTTCCCTACCTGTTCCCTCCCTGCCCCTGCATACATTCCTCATCCTTGGGTTAGTCTGCAGGACCTCCAGGAAATCTATTGGCAAGCCCCAGGCTTGACCTCTTCAGATCCACATTCCATCTTGCTGTCAGTATTCTTCTTCAGGCTGCTTTTTACACAACTAGCCAAAAATGATAATACTGACTCTTTAAGATTGGAGTTTGGGAGTATAAAATTATGGTCATTCTTTTTCTTTTCTTCCCCGCTCCCCCCATGACCGTGTTTTTGTTTCATATGATATTCTGTCTCATATTTTGCTTGCTTGCATTATTGGCCTAGTTAATAGGCAGTACTAATTACGTTAACTGAGATGGTGCATGTATTTTATTGCTTCAGGTTATACACATTGCTCAGTGCATTGAGCGTTCTCTAAATGGATTTTTATATATATATATTCCTGCAGGAATAACTAAACGGAACATTTAAAAAGAGAAGAGAGTGAAAAGATTCCACCATCTCATGCAGGCTGTGTTGGAAATTGTAAATTCTGAGGTTAGTTCTCACTTACGGAAGCAGTAATCCTTCTTCCAAATTTATATTTAATTCTTCAGTGCAGGATGCATCCATCCATCTATCTGGTTCTTCTCAGCATCTGAGCACCTGACAAAGTCCCCAGTTCTGATATGGTCTTGGCCAGTGAAAATGTTTCTGGGTTTCCTGTTATATATGTCCCATTGGTAATTTATTTCAGGGGCTGTCATTCCTATATGTTTTCTTCTTCTTGCATCTCTTTGCTCCTCTAATGGGAAAATAACATCCAGATAGTTGCACCTCTTCGACTGACTCTCATCTCAGCTTCATCTACCATTCATTCTTGCCTATTTTTCCAACTTTATTGAGAGAAATTGGAGAAATGGAACAGAGATGGTATTTCTCAGGGAAGGGACAGTCCTCATTTCTTGCCCAGTGTGAAGAGAGGAATATTTACTCTGGGTATCTAAGGGAGACTTGGTCTCTGAAGCAGTCTGGCAGGTGGATGTTGATGGTATCACAGGAATAAGCAGATCTGAATGTTGGTTCTAAGTTGTCTTTTCTTTTTGGGGCCTCCAGTCCTGAAATTGGCCTGATTATTTTGAGGTGCTGATCACCAAAACTCTTATTGACTTCAGTAGGAGTTGTGGGTGCTCAGCACCTCTGAAAAATAGCCCATTTTGTTTAGGTGCCTATGCACGAATTGAAGTGCCTAATTTAAAGCTAACAAGTTTGAAATTTTCGCCCTGATGTTTCCATGTTCCTGGTGAAGCTTCCCCAAATGGTTGAGAACTCTATTGACTTGGAAACTGGAAAGAGAGACAGGATATGCTTGCTAGTCTGTGCCATTCCCGTATCAGCTGTCTTCACTGAAATGATAATAGCTCTATTGAAATTCTTTTATGTTCAAATATTTTATTACTTTCATAAAAACAAACACCTCCCCCTCTAAAGAAAGAAAGAAATGTAACAAACAAATAATATTGAATGTTTGTACAAATTGACATATAAAATGTATATATTATATAATAAAACACTGGAAAAAACTTCATAACATAACGAGCAGAAATAAAAACAAACGTAAGGAAAAAAAGGGGAGAAAACAAGACATATAAAATTGTAATTGGTGAAATGTTATGATAATATGAGTGTAAAAAACACCACAAATATTATACTATACACACCGGATGACTCTCTGTTTTCATGTGAAATTATTACCCCTGTAAAGCTGTTGAAATTCTGCTAGAATTAACTATATATAAAAGAGGCCAGAAATCTGGAACATATAGTTAGTGAAAATTTCTTGCAAGATGTCTCCAGATGTAAATGGAAACTGAAACAAACAAAACAAAAACCAACCACAGAAAAGAACAGCTACAGTAACTGTGGTTTTTTGAGATGTGTCAGCCACAAGGATTTCGCTCTCGGTGTGCATATGTCCAAAGTGTGCAAGATTGGATCCTTCTGGCCAGCAGAGTCTGTGTGGCCTGCAGATTTCTGTTTGCTTAGAAGTGAGTGCTACTAGTCCCGCTAACTTAACCAAGGACTGTAGGACAGGCCTACCAAAATAGACTTCACTAAAGACTAATGTGAAAGTATGGCTTGAACTCCATGTAGCTGCCCTACAAAATTCATAAATAGGGACATTCTTCAAACATGCAGCTTAGACTGCCTAAGTAGTGGAATTAGTTCCAAAGTGGATAGGGGGATTTAACTTTGCTAGCTCGTAATGTGCCCCATGGAGACCCTTTTTTGATAATCACCTCTGTGAGGATATTGCTTGGCCCTTAACCCTATCAGCAAAAGCCATGAACAGCCTGGCTGTGTTCCTGGATGGTTTTTATTCTGTTAAGGAATTATGATAATCCCCTTACTACGTCAAGTGTGTGAAGTTTAGCGTCCTCTGAGGTTGAGTGAGACTTGGGGAACGACACTGGCAGGTCAGTGGACTCATTCACGTGGAACTCTGACACAACTTTGGGCAGGAACTTAGGATGAGGTCTGAGGGTGACCTTGTCCTTATGAAACACTGTATAAAGGGGACCTGTCCTGAGGGCCTGAATCTCCCCTACCCTTTGATCTGATGTAATGGCTACTGAAAAAGCAGCCTTCATCAATAAATGGTATAGGGAGCAGGTTTGTTATGGTCTCACAGTGGCGATCCATCAGTCCTCCAAGTACTGTATTGTGGATCCAAAAGGGAGAGGGTTCCTGAACTGGCAAAGGGGAAGGGAACATGGATTAGACCCCTAAGGAATCTTGCTACCTTAGGATAGGAAAATACTGTATGACCCTAGATAGGAAGATGGTGCACAGATATCACTGATATAGGACCCTCCTGGAACTGAAAGAAAGTCCAGATTTTTTCAAGGCTCTTAAATAGTACACTATTGCTAGAGTGGGTGCTGTCATGGAAGATAGTTGACGTTGAGATCCCCAAATATAAAACCTCTTCCACTTAGGTTTATAAGGTAGCCTAGTTGAGGTATTCCTGGTTTGGAACACAATGTTTTGAACTTCAGTTGATCAGCTTCTTTCAGTGGATGTCAACTAGAGTGACCAGACAGCAAGTGTGAAAAATTGGAACGGGGGTGTGGGGTAGGAGCCAATATAAGAAAAAGACCCAAAAATCAGGACTGACCGATTTTATGAGACTATCTGAGATAGAGCAGGTGAGATGTGGCGGGGCTGTTTGGAAAGGTTCACCACATCCAAATTCCAGAATTGTCTGGCCCATCCTTGGGCTATCATGGCCGTCAGTCCACCACCTGGCTTCAATTTCATCAGGACCCACAGTATCTTGGGGATCAGGGGTAAGACATACATTAGTCCTGCTATCCAGGATATGAGCAAGGCCTCTGGCAGGGCACCCAGATTAGAGCCCCCTCTAGAGAAGAGTGCTAGGCATTTGTTGTTATGGTCTGTGGCAAGCAGGTCTATTGATGGGTATCCCACTTGTGAAATATCCTCGGCAAAACTGAGTCCTTGATCAGCCACTTGTGGTTGTCTGAGAAATGGCTGCTGAAGTGATCTGCAAACTAATTTTGAGTGCCTGGAAGATGCAGAGCCAGCAGTATGTTTTGGTGGCAAATGTACCAAGTACAAAGATGAATTGTCTTTTGACAGAGGGAAAATGTCATGGCTCCTCCTTCTCTGTTGACGGAATGCATAACTGCGGTGTCTGTCAGCACTGGAATGTAGTAGCCATAGAAATGTTGTATGTGAGATGGATAGCTCTGAGTTCTAGGATGTTTATGTGCCTGTGTACTTCCTGACAGAACCACAGGCCCTGAGTTTGAAGGTTATCCAAATGAGCCCCCATCTTTGAATGGAGGCATCCATGACCAAAATATTGGTAGGTAGAAAAGCAGAGAAGGGTACTCCTTGGCACACCTGAAATGAGTCTTTCTACTAGTTTAACAAGGAGAGGACCTCTTGGAGGACTGTGGCCAGAATGCAGTGTTTCCTGGGTAGATATACTGACTGGGTAGATATACAACCACCCTTGCATGGTGCACAAGTGAAGTCTGGCAAACTGTCATTTAGATACATGAAAGCATATGTGCCAGAAGTCTAAAGGCGTGCTCGTATTGGTTTCTTTGGGTGAGCATGAAATTGATTGATGAAGTTCACTATACCTTGAAATCTTTCTTGTGGAAGATAAGCTCACTCTCATGTGGACTCTAACATGACTCCTATGAGCTGTGTTTTGAATCAGAGTATGGAGTATAGATTTTTCTTTGTTAACTTACTTTGAGGCCCAGTGTGGCAAAGAGTTAAGGTTATTTGAATCCACTCAATCACCTGTTGGGTGATCTTCCTGGGATTAGACAATTGCTGAGATACGGATGCACCTGACTCCCCTGTCTCTTTAAATGAGCTACCACAACTGCCAAGCACCTGATGAACACCCTTGATGTTCTGGAAAGACCAAAGTGCCAGATCCTGTACTGGCAGTGACATGTTACTACTAGGAATCTCAGGCACTTCCAGGGATCCAGAAATATGGATAGATGAAAATCAGCATCCTGAAGGTTGAGATAGATCTAGTCTTGAGCATCTAACAACAGGATTATGGAGGCCAGTCATCATTCTGAACTTGAAAAATGGCTGATGGATTTTTGAGATGTCAAAGGTCCGGAATAGGACACCAACCCCATTTCTTCTTTGTAATGAGAAAATAATGGGAATAAAACCTCCTGCCCTAGAACTCTGGGGGCACGTCCTCCTCTGCTCTGAGTTGTAGAAGGGAGTCCATTTCTTGTTTCAACAGTATCTCATGAGAGGGGTGTGATGCTGGCAGCCCAGATGCCAGCTTTTGCCCAGGCTGGAGGCATTAGCTAAGAACTGACAGCCTCCGAGCTGGAGACCAGACCTGGTCACCTGTATGTGAGTTTTGCATTAATCTTATCAGAATGTATTTAGTGTTTATATTCTATGAAATGCTTGTACACTGCTGCATGTATTAATCTCACTTATAATATCTATATCCCATTTTATAAGGTAATATTTAAGTGTTTGCAATGTAAGTGTAACAGTGTTCACTCTGAAACTGTAAACCCTCACAGTCAAGAGAGAAACATTACCAAGTGTGAAATGCTGTTTTGCCACAGGAGGTGTTATCTCCTGCCCAACAAAAGAAAGCCCATAGACACCAGACAAACCACTGTGGAACATCAGAGGACAAAATACTTTGTTGATTGCTCCCCCTTCACCCATGAAGAGGAAATACTGGGCCCATCATCTTGAACTCTGGGGGAACCGGATAAAAATCCCTCACAAGAAGAAACTGCATCTTTGGCTGTTTGAACTCTGAAGGGCCAGAGACTCTAACTGGAAGCAAAAGGTCTCCAGGGGCTGCCTCCTGGGTCTGCCCTGAAAGACACTTTGAATAGACAGATCACTGCAACACTGTCACTCATAGGATTTGGATGGTAACTCATATGTTTGTATATGTTTGCTTGCTTAAACTTGTAAATAATTCTGTTTCCTTTTTCCTAGTTACTAAACCTTTGGATTGTTTATTTCAGGATTGGCTACAGGCATTGTCCTTGGAGTAGGATCGATCTAGGGTTCCAACTGATCTGGGGGTAGGTGACTGGTCTCTTGGGATTGGAAGCAACCTAAATGTAGTATGATTTTTGGAATAAGTGTACGTAAAAGAATAAATGGACACAAATCAGATGTCAAGAATTATAACATTCATAAACCAGTCGGAGAACACTTCAATCTCTCTGGTCACGCAATCACAGACATGAAGGTCGCTATCTTAAAACAAAAAAACTTCAAATCCAGACTCCAGCGAGAAACTGCTGAATTGGAATTCATTTGCAAATTGGATACTATTAATTTAGGCTTAAATAGAGACTGGGAGTGGCTAAGTCATTATGCAAGGTAGCCTGTTTCCTCTTGTTTTTTCCTACCCCCCCCCCCCCCAGATGTTCTGGTTTAACTTGGATTTAAACCTGGAGAGTGGTCAGTTTAGATGAGCTATTACCAGCAGGAGAGTGAGTTTGTGTGTGTATGGGGGTGGGGGGGATGTGAGAAAACCTTGATCTATGCAGGAAATAGCCCGACTTGATTATGTAAAGAGTTGTCACTTTGGATGGGCTAGCACCAGCAGGAGAGTGAATTTGTGTGGGGGGGTGGAGGGTGAGAAAACCTGGATTTGTGCTGGAAATGGCCCACCTGTTGATCACTTTAGATAAGCTATTACCAGCAGGACAGTGGGGTGGGAGGAGGTATTGTTTCATGATTTCTGTGTGTATATAAAGTCTGCTGCAGTTTCCACGGTAAACATCTGATGAAGTGAGCTGTAGCTCACGAAAGCTCATGCTCAAATAAATTGGTTAGTCTCTAAGGTGCCACAAGTACTCCTTTTCTTTTTGCGAATACAGACTAACACGGCTGTTCCTCTGAAACCTGGAATAAGTGACTGTTATCACTAAATCTAGTTTGTCTGGGCCGCAGGATAAACTGGAGTGTCTAAGGTCTGGTCTACACTGGGGGGGGATCGATCAATCTAAGTTACTTAGATCTACTCACCGCAGTGTCTTCACTGCAGTGAGTCGACTGCTGAAGCTCCCCCATCAACTCTGCCTGCGCCTCTTGCTCTGGAGTACCAGAGTCGACAGGAGAGTGCTTGGCAGTTGATTTATCGTGTCTATACTAGTTAGTTTATCGTGTCTATACTAGTCAATACTAGACGCGATAAATCGACCCCCACTGGATCGATCACTGCCCGTCGATCCGGCGGGTAATGTAGACAAGCCCTAAGAGGACTGCCTGTGACTCCATGATAAAACTGTAACAGTGATCCAGGAGTTCATATTTGTTCATGGTTTGGTGAAATCTAATTATAGAACATACTACCAGCAGTGGCAGATTAACACATAGGCGCTGGCCAACTTGGGGGCCCCTGGAAAAACAGATTCCGCAAGCCCCTGCAGAAGGTGTGGGGCTGAAGCCCTGGCCCCGAGTACCCCAAGCCCTGGCAGGGGCTTCAGGAGTGCCGGAAGCTCCTTAGAAGTGGGGGGATTGCTGGTGCCCAAACCATGGCCCCACCCCTCCTCTGCCCCTTCCACCAAGGCCTCGCCCCTGCACCTCGTTTCCCCCGAGGCCCCGCCCTGCACTTGTTCCTCTCTGCTTCCTCTTCCCTGTTGTTTGCTCTTAAGGTAGGTAAAAATTGGGAGGGCATAGCCCCCTGGTCCCCTCTGTTCTGGTGCCCCTGAAGTCCCAAGCCTGGGCACCCCCCCGAGACCTGGCAAAAGCCATGGAGTGGAAGCCCTGAGGCTGGGCACCCTGTGCTGTTCTAGGAGGGACAGCTTAATGGGGGGTGGGGGGAGGGGGAGGCCCTATTTCTGACAGTCTGCCCTGAGGTAGGGCACTCACGGTTGTGAGCCACTCTAGGCAGCGTTACACTTCCTGTTTCAACAGTATCTCATGAGAGGGGTCACTGAAAAGGGATGGGGAAAAACGGGAGGGGGGAAGAAGGGCCTGGAATTGAATGCAATACTCCTTGCTGACAATCTCCAAGACCCATAGGTCTGAGGTGACCCCATTTCAGGATTCCTGACAAGAGAGGTGGTTGTCAAAAGGTGGGGATGGCTGGAAAAAGATCTTTGGAAAAACTTTCTGCTGGGCTTGCAACAGTGTCATATTTGCTGCCAGGAGAAATATGCTAAGTATGCCACAGCTGTGGAAGAGGCAAAGGATTGTCTGCTGGGCCTCATCCATCTTTGAATTAAAAAGTTTACTGCCCTCCAAGGGAAGGTCTGTGATTGTGATTTGGATCTCGCTGGGTAACCCTGACGCTTGGAGCCAGAACGATCTCCACATCGCCACAGATGTAGCCATGGTAAGTGCTGCTGTGTCTGATGCATCGAATTCTGCTTTTTCACAAGTGTGAGCTGCCTGTCATTCATTATTGATTTTAGTTCTTTTAATTCAGAAGGAAGCCTGTCCGTAAATCGAAACCTCTTGTCACAGTATAAATAACTCTATTCCCAAAGATTATTTTAGCAGAATATAATTAATAATATTCACAACCAAACGGTATGATAGAAATGAAGATACAGAGGTTTTAGAAGAGACTACTCTAAAACATGCCTATTAGAAGCCACTCTTAGGGTATGTCTGCACTGGCAGAGTTAGAGCACCGGCCATTACAGCGCCACTCAGAGAGCGCTGAAGGGAAACTGCGGTTGTGTGTTCACACTGGCAGCTGCCTGCGTAGTAGCGTGTTCACACTTGCAGCAGTATTCAGAGCGGTGCACTCTGGGCAGCTATCCCACAAAGCACCTCTTCCTCTTCTGCCGCTAAAGAAGGTGGAGGGTGTTGCGGGGCAGCCTGGGTCCTTTCCCAATGCCCTGTGATACATTGCTTCGCATCCCAGCAATCCCTGTGCTTCCATCCGCATGTGGCACCATCTTTCAACAGTTTGTGTACTCTTCAGGCTGCAGGAATGGATCCCGAACTGCTGACCAATATGCTGCTCGCTCTGATCAACACGTCACGAGTGGCAGTGGAGTTATTCCTGACACTACAAAGGCAAGAGAAGTGTGACATTGATCTCGCCACGTGTAGTAGCTACGACATGAGATTGCTTGTGGGATTCATGGAGGTGCCGACAACAGTGGAACGCTACTTATGGGCTCAGGAATTGAGCACTGAGTGGTGGGAACACCTCGTCATGCATGTCTGGGATGAGAAGCAGTGGCTGCAGAACGTTTGGATGAGGAAAGCCACATTCATGGGACTGTGTGATGAACTCGCCCCCACCCTGCAGTGCAACAACACGAGATTGAGCGCAGCCCTGTTGTTGGAGACGCGTGTGGCAATTGCACTGTGGAAGCTGGCTACTCCAGACTGCTACTGATTGGTCACTAACCAGTTCGGAGTGGGAAAGTCAACCGTTGGACTCATGTTGACCAGAAGTGTGCAGGGCCATTAATCGCATCCTGCTCCGAAAGACTGTGACTCTGGGCAACGTGCATGACATTGTGGATGGCTTTGCACAAATGGGCTTCCTTAACTGCAGAGGGGTGATAGATGGCATGCACATTCCAATTCTGGCACCAGAGCACCTAGCCACTGAGTACATTAATCGGAAGGGGTATTTCTCAATGGTTCTCCAGGCACTTGGGGATCATCGCTGGCGTTTCATGGACATTAATGCAGGCTGGTCTGGAAAGATGCATGTCACATTCATCTTTTGGAACACTGACCTGTTCAGGAAGCTGCAAGCCGGGACTTTCTTCCCAGAGCAGAAGATCACTGCAGGGGAAGTCGAAATGCCCATTGTGATCCTGGGAGACCCCACCTACTCCATAATGCCATGGCTTATGAAGCCATAGACGGGGCACCTTGACAGCAGCAAGGAGCAGTTCAACAACAGGCTGAGCAAGTGTAGAATGACTGTTGAGTGTGCTTTTGGCCATTTAGAGGCCCATTGATGCAGCCTATATGGGAGGCTGGACCTGGTCGATGACAATATTCCTATGCTTATAGCGGCGTGCTGTACACTCCATGATATTTGTGAAGGGAAGGGTGAAAGCTTCACTCAGGGCTGGACCGCTGAGGCTCAGTGCCTGGAGGCTGAATTTGAACAGCCAGAGACCAGGGCTATTAGAGGGGCGCAGCGTGGGGCCATAAGGATCGGGGATGCCTTGAGGCAGCAATTTGAAGCTGAAAGCCACTAATATTTGTTGCTATGCTCAGGAGTGCAGTGCTTGTAATGCTAGGAGGTGATTGTGATTGGTGCGGACGATGCAGTGTGAAGGTTTAAGAAAACTGCCTGTTGCTTTGCAGGGCTCTGTTTGCTTTCAATTAATGGAATAAAGATCGCTTTCAAACCAAAACAATTCTTTTATTAAAAAACAACAATCAGAGAAGAGAGACAGACAAAAAAAACCACATCAGCACTGAGGGATGGGGGAAGGGAGGGTCCCAGGAGGAGGTGGGGTCCCGGGACGGTTAAAGATTTGTGTATGTGCAGGTATCATATCCAACCTTCTCCTTTGGAGTACAGTGCAGTGGGTACTGTACTTCAGCAGGGCTAAACGGCTGGGGAACCGCAGTGGGTACTGGGAGTCCACAGGGCTGGACTGTGACAGGGCAGGAGTGGAATACGGGGGGTACAGACGGGAGCCAGGAGGTTGATAAGAGTGTGTTGGCAGTGTCTGGGGGGGCACATGGGAAAGAGTTTTGTGACAGTGGCTGCCGGGGAGGGCGTGTGTGGAGCTGCTCAGTTTGCAGTGTTAGTAGTGCCTGGAGCGTGTCCGCTTGGCGCTCCATAACATTTACGAGCCGCTCCATGGCTTCGTTCTGGTGCGCCGGGCTCTCCTTTCGATCCCTTTTCTCTCTGTCCCGGCGCTCCTTCAGTTCTTGTTTTTTGGCTGCAGAGTGCATCATGACCTCACACAAAAAGTCCTCCTTAGTTCTTCTTGGCCGCTTTCTAATTCTGCGCAGCCGTTCAGCTGGTGATAACAAAGAGGGAGGCTGGGCTCCCAAGGTCACCTCTGTGATGCCAAAATGCAACATTTTACAGAAGCATATTGTTTGCAACACACAGACCACTGATTTAAAACACAGCTACTCTTCACATACCTGTCACTAACTGGCTGACCCCAGGCCAGCACACATGAGCCACAAGACCCCCAAAATGGTGAGTAACCTCAGGGGCA